AGAGAGGCGGAGGAGGAGGAGGAAGGAGGAGGAGGCGGAGGAGGAGGAGGACGAGGGGGTCGAGGAGGAGGAGGAGGAGGAGGAGGAGGAGGTGGAGGAGGAGGAGGTGGAGGATTGTTTTCTGGTCCAGGAAAGGAAAAGCTTTCGCCTCCGGCGCACCTCGCGCTCGGCGGGAGGCGGCGGAGGTGAAACCGACACGCTGGCACTTCTGGGCCCAGGACTTCCAGTGTCGGCCACGTGCTGCGGTGGGGGAGCACAGCGGGATGCCCGCGCGCGGGCGTGTGAGCCCAGCGCGCTTCTCGGGGGCGGCAGTGAGGGGGGTGATGACCCTCCTCCTCCTCCTCCTCCTCCTCCTCCTCCTCCTCCTGGATCCTGGATCCTGGATCCTCCTGGTGCTCCTCTCCACTGCACGCTCCCTACGTAAGGACTTCTGTGATAAGCGCAGCCCGTTCCCCAGGATCAAAAACAACAAATCCGCACGCTCAAGAGAACGCTTGGTGCCTGCCCGGCATGTGTGTGTGTGTGTGTGTGTGTGTGTGTGTGTGTGTGTGTGTGTGAGTTTCTCTCTTTCTCTCTCTGTGTGTGTGTGTGTGTGTGTGTGGGTGTCTGTGTAGTGTCTGTGTCTGTGTCTGTAGCTGTGTCTGTGTCTGTCTGTGTCGTGTCTGTGTCTGTGTCTATGTGTGTCTGTATCTATGTGTGGTGTTTGGGTGAGTGTGTGTGTGTGTGCACATATTATATATATATATATATATTGTGTGTGTGTGCGTGTTTTGTGTGTGTGTGTGTGTGTGTGTGTGCGTGCGTGTGTGTGTGTGTGTTCTGTGTGTGTGTTGTGGTGTTTTTGTGTGTGGTGTGTGTGTGTGTGTGTGTGTGTGTGTGTGGTGTGTTTGCGTGTGTGTGCGTGTGTGGGTTGTGTGTGTGTGTGTGTGGTGTGCGCGCGCGCGCGGGTGTGTGTGTGTGTGTGTGTGTGTGTGTGTGTGCGTGTGTGTGTGTGTGCGTGACGTTGCGTGCGTGCGTGCGTGTGCGTGTGTGTGTGTGTGTGTGTGTGTGTGTGTGGTGTGTGTGTGTGTGTGTGCGTGTCTGTGTGTCTGTGTGTGTGTCTCTGTGTGTGTGTGTCTGTGACTGTGTGTGTGTGTGTGTGTGTGTCTGTGTGTGTCCATGTGTGTCTGTGTTGTGTGTGTGTGTCGTGCGGCGTTGGGTGTGTGTGTGTGTGTGTTTGTGTGTGTTTGTTTGGTGTGTGTGTGTGTGTGGGTGGGGGGCGACGTGTGGGCGTGTGGGCGTTGTGTGTGTTGTGTGTGTGTGTGTGTTTGTGCGGGCGGGCGGCGGGCGGCGGGCGGGTGGGCGTGTGCGCGTGCGCGTGCGTGTGCGTGTGCGTGTGTGTGTGTGTGCGCGCGTGCGTGTGTGTGTGTGGCTGTGTGTGTGCGTGTGGTTGTGTGTGCGCGTGTGTTTCTTTTGGACCTTTACCGTGCCCTTCTACCAGCTCGTTGGCTATAGCATCGCGGTAGCCTCGCGGACCCTCGTCTTGCGTCCTTTCTCCCTCTCCGCCCACCCCGCTCGCCGCCCCGCTCTCGCCAGTCACCTAGCCCGGTCGGCTTCCGCTCGTCGGCACCCCCTCGTTTGACTTCCCCGCGCGGGGCCCGCGCGCCGGCCCGCTGGGCCCTGTCGGGCGGGGCGCTGGACGGTCCATCCTCATTGTTTTAAGTCGGGCGTGTCCCTCTCCAGGAGGAGTGTTCAAAAATAGTACAACGATAGTCTCGGGACGACTTTCCTATTGTTTTTGCTTGCCATTTTTTGAATGTATTTAGGGAATTTTAATTTTGTTGTCCAAAGTCCGCCTGTAGGGGGACATGCCCGACCTAATCCTTGTTCCTCGTCCTGGCTGCGTCTCCGCAGGCAGCGTGCTCGGCGGCGCGGGGGCCCCGCGCGCCGGCGGCCGCTGGGCCTTGGGCCCCGCACGAGCCGACCTGCACAGGGCTCCCTTCGATTCCTCCAAGTCGATGCGGCCTCGATTTTTTGCGGGGCTGCTGGTCCCGATCCGATTGGACTTCGGCTTCCCATGTGGGCTCCGCTCTCTCAACGGCGGTCTGCTGGCCTTCCACTTCCTCCTGCTCGACTTCTCCCGAGCCGGCTGCCGATCTCCGCCGGTCCGATTCATGTCGATCGCCGATCCGGTTCATCGATTCGATTCTGGGCTTCCCCTGGAGGAGGGGTGCGTGGCAGCGTCGCCAAGGGGGGGGACAGCTCAGGGGGGGGGGGGCGGCAACGTCGACCTGGGATCGGCGCTGCATCGCCGAGGGGTCGGCGAGGAGCCCCCTGTTAGCGAGTCTGCACGCTCCTGGGCGGGGCGGGCTATCGTCTGGCAGCCATCGCTCCCGAGGAGGAGGAGGAGGAGGAGGAGGAGGAGGAGGAGGAGGACCAGTGGAAACCCAAGAGTCATCAACGATGTTGGAATTAACCCTCCCTCCAAGCTCCCTCTTC